CAGGAATGCAGCCATCACTGCTGCCTCTTGAGTGTGCAAGAGCAGGAAAGCTAAACACTGAACCCAGACGCCCTGATGCGTGATGCAGGCCTCTTATCCAGGCACTCCCTAACCGCTAGGCTACACGCCTGCCCCACCCCGTCATTTCCCATTTTTAATCTTCAGTTGTTCCAATTTGATTGGCATTGGATGGGGGTGAGGACCCCGTGCTGCCAGGAACCCCGTGTGAAGACACAAATCAGGGCCAGCGCCATGGCTCACTTGGCTAATTCTCTGCCTGCAGCGCCAGCATCCCACATGGGTGCCAGGTTCTAGTCCCGGTTGCCCCTCTTCCAGGCCAGCTCTCTGCTGTGGCCCGGGAGTGCAGTGGAGGATGGCCCAGGTGCTTGGGCCCTGCACCCCATGGGAGACCAGGAGAAGCACCTGGCTCCTGCCTTCGGATCAGCGCAGCGCCGGCCGTAGTGGCCATTGGGAAAGTGGACCAACGCAGGGAAGACCTTTCTTTCTGTCTCTCTGTCTATAACTCTACCTGTCAAAAACAAACAAACAAACAAACACACAAATCAGGCCAGTGAAGCTGCCATGTCAGAGATGCCAGCGCTCAGGAGCTGAAACAAGCTTGTCTCTCCTAGAACACGAAGACGGGACTGACCAGGGCAGCTTCCCAGTGCTGAGGACGTACACTCTACCCATCTCTGCTTAAACCGCAGTTCACGTGTGGCCCCAGGTCCCGCCTTCTGTCTGCATTCCCAAAGTGGGAAGAGTCAAGGACAGGTGTCAGCCAAGGGTGCAGCTCCGACTGCTGTCTGCAAGTCTCTGTTAGTAACACAGAGCATGGGCACTGGGTAGCATCAGTCTCCACACAAGACACCATCTTTAGAATCAACTCTTTCGGGGCCAGCGCTGTGGCATAGTGGGTGAAGCTGCCGCCTGTAGTGCCAGCATCCCATATGGCTGCTGGTTCATATCCCAGTGCTCCACTTCCAATCCAGCTCTCTGCTATGGCCTGGGAAAGCAGTAGACGATGGCCCTACTGCTTGGGCCCCTGCACCTGCATGGGAGACCTGGAGGAGGCTCCTGGCTCCGTATCGGCACAGCTCTGGCCATCACGGCCAACTGGGGAGTGGACCAGTAGATGGAAGACCCAACCCCCCGCCTGTCTGCCTCTCCTTCTTGCCGTGTGTAACTCTTTCAAATAAATAAATAAATTTTTTTTCAAATAAATATTTTTTAAAAATCAATTCTTTCATAACTACTTGGATTTGTGACTCAGAGGAACCAGTGGATGGAAAAATCTCTCTCCTCTGTCATTTTGCCTCTCAAATTAACAAAATTAACTTTTTTTGTTCTAAGATTTATTTATGGCCGGCGCCGTGGCTCACTAGGCTAATCCTCCGCCTTGTGGCGCCGGCACACCGGGTTCTAGTCCCGGTCGGGGCGCCGGATTCTGTCCCGGTTGCCCCTCTTCCAGGCCAGCTCTCTGCTGTGGCCCGGGAGTGCAGTGGAGGATGGCCCAAGTGCTTGGGCCCTGCACCCCATGGGAGACCAGGAGAAGCACCTGGCTCCTGCCATCGGATCAGCGCGGTGCGCTGGCCGCGGCGGCCATTGGAGGGTGAACCAACAGCAAAGGAAGACCTTTCTCTCAGTCTCTTTCTCTCACTGTCCACTCTGCCTGTCAAAAAAAAAAAAAAAAAAGATTTATTTATTTATTTGAAAGAGTAACAGAAGGCAGGGGGATTTTCCATACTGATGGTTCCATCTGCTGGTTCTCTCTCTAATGGCTGCAATCAACAGGGATGGGCCAGGCGAAAGCCAGGAACAAGGAGCTTCATCTGGGTGTCCCACGTGGGCGCAGGGGACCAAACACTTGGGCCATCTTCTGCTGCTTTCCCAGGCCATTAGCAGGGAGCTGGATCGGAAGTGGAGCAGCCGGGACTTGAACTGGTACCTATATGGTATGCCAGCACTACAGGCAGCAGCTTTACCCACTATGCCACAGCGCCAGCCCCAAATTGATTAATTTTTAAATAGTTTGTAAAAAAAAATAAAACAAAAAACATGGATTGTGAAAAAATTATGCATGGGCTGCAAAATTTTTTGCGTCCAAATAAATTACCCTAAAATCCCGTTTTCCACAAACTTTCTGAAGCAGCCATGTATGTGTAGAACTTAAACGTATGTTTATAAAGGCTGCAGTAATGGGTACAGTTCACTAAGCCCTTGGCGTGTGGTGACTCCAGAGAAGGGTATGCCATGCATCGCCTCACTTCCAAGATAGGTTCTATTAGTGTTGCCATGATACCACTGAGACATTCATCCCACAGGTGCACAGACGGTGCCAGCACGGTGTCCCAAGCCCACGCTGGCACAAACCAGTCAAAAGTACATTTACTACAACCAACATCCCAAACACCACGGCTCCGCGACCCGGGCACTGCTCCCTCCTGCCAGCAGGCTGCTGGGGATGCTGGGGCGAGCCCTGCACTGTCCCTCGAAATTCCCGCCTCAAGGCGCACTCCGCCCTAGGCTGGAACACTGAAGTCAAACCAGTGTCCCGCGGCAAGCGGTCTACATTAGTACACTCGACAGGTGGTAAGGCCTCTACTTCTTAAAATGCAGGCATAATGTACACTACAAAGATACAGATTTAAGGACAGAGCTCGACGAGTTCAGACGAACGTGGACTCCCCGACAGGACGCCGCATGCCTAGCCCAGGCGGCCCTGTCGCCATGAGCTCTGCCCATCCCGGACCCACCCACACAGAACCACCGAACGTGCATGCTCTTGTGTTTGGCGTCTTTCGCTTGGTATGTTATGTGTGGTTTCTGAAAAGATTTATTCGAAAGGCAGAGTGACAGCGTGGGCTTCCATCTGTGGGTTTACTGGTTGTAGGTGGGCGAGCCAGGAGCTCCACCTGGGCCTCCCACAGCGGGTGGCAGGGGCTCAAGAACTTGAAGCTCCATCTACTTCTTCCCAGCTGCATTAGCAGAAATCTGCATCAGAAGCAGAGCATGAGAGATGCAGGCATCCCAGGAGGCAGCTTCACACGCTGAGCCACGACACTCACTCCCGCGTGGGCGCCATCACACAACTGCACGACCTGTTCATCCATCCTCCTGCTGTGAACATGCGAGCAAATCCACAGTTCCATCTCCAAGCCTCCTGGGATGCAGAGCTGAGCCACAGGGCAACGGCCTCAGCCTGTCCAGGGTCCTGGGACAAGGCACCATAAACACAGCAAATGGACTGGGGCAAGCGCTGACACAGTGGGCCAGGCTGTTGCTGCAGATGCCTGCATTCCGCACGAGTGTGCCTGGTTCCAGTACTGGCTACTCCATACTTCCAATCTACAGCTTCTGGCTGACGTGTCTGGGAAGGCAGATGACGGCCCAGGCACTTGGGTTCCTGCCACTGCCCTGGGGGACGGAGACAGTTCCAGGCTCCTGGTGGGAGCCTGGCCCAGCCCTGGCTGCTGCAGCCATCTGGGGAGCAAACCAGCAGACAGAAGATGGCTCTCTCTCTGCCTTTCTCTAAATACAAAGAACAACTTCTTACAGCTGTTCTGGGTAAGTCCAGCAGGCCTGGTGTCGCTGAGGGCCTGTTTTCTGGTCCAGAGATGGCACCTTGCTGTGTGCTGGGGTCTCTCTCGGGCCTCTTTTATGTGGGCACTAAACCTATTCATTAGGACTCTGCCCCATGACCTCATCACCTCGCACGGGTCCCATATCCCATGATCGTCCCCTTGGAGTTAGGATGCCAATGTGTGGATTCGGGGGAGGTTGTGGTGGGAGGGGACACATTCAGCCCAAACCAAGGAGCTGCCTTACTGTTTCCCGAAGTGGCCAGCGCTTCTTCCGGTCCCCCCAGCAACGTGTGAGAACCCCGAAGCTGCTGCACACTCACTGAATCTGATACCGTCAGTCTCCCAGTTCCCGCCGTTCTGCTGGGTGGGAAGCAGGACCTCCTTGTGATTTTTTTTTAAAGACTTTATTTGTTTGAGAGGCAGAGTTAGAGGGAGCGACAGGGGTCTTCCATCCGCTGTTCATTCCCCAGACTGCCGGCGCCGAGCCGAGCCGAAGCCAGGAGTTTCCTCCGGGACATCAGCCGCAGGGGAAGTCCGAGCCCACCGCGCCTCAGAGCCGGCCCCTCTGTGATTTTAACCCGCACTTCTCCGCTCCTCGGATGGACCGACCCTTCCTCCAGGTGCCCCGTGGCCTCCCAGTGCCACTCAATGGCTTTTTGTTAAACCAAGCACAAGTCTGTCTTTGGGGTCTTTTACTTAAGTAGTCTCCCAGCGTCGGCAAGCGCACGGAACTGCGCACCCGGGACCGAGAACCGCACGCCCACCACAGGCGAGGCCCGCAGAGTTGACGGGAAGCACCGCGTCCCCTGAGCGCAGACAGCCGCAAGCCACGAACGAACGGGCCACAGCCGCCGGCGGAGCGGCCTCGTCCGCGAGGCGGGAGCAGCTGCGGGGCACGGGGCCTGCGTGCGGCCCTCCGGGCAGCTTGCAGGGCAGACGGCACCTCCGTGCGGCCCGCGCTCGACCTCGGCCCCTGCCCCGCACCGCCCAGCCCCGCAGGCCTCCAGCGAGCCCTCCGGCCCGGCCTGTGGCCCCCGGGTCTCTGGAAATCGCCCGGCTCTCAGGACCTGGGCAGGCTCCCCGCACCGCCCGGCCGCCACGCTGCCCGCCACTTACCGGCCGCCACGCTGCCCGCCACTTACCGGCCGCGGAGTTCCACGTCCGCGAGCCTGCGCCGCGCCCGAATCAGGACCCCTGCGGCCGGGCTGCCCGCACCAGTCCCTGACGGCGCGCTGGCCCGCCCCTCGTCGCCCGGGGTGGGGGCCGCAGCCGCGCCCCTCCGCTGGGCCCCTGGGGGAGGGGGCGGACGCCCGGCCCCGCAAGCGCCGGCCCCGCCCCGCGCCAGCCGCTCCCGCGCGCGGCGCCGCCAGGCAGTGGCGCGGACAGCCCGGCGCGCGCGGGCGACGCAGGACCCGGGCTCCTCGGCGGCGGCGGCGGCGGCGGCGGCGGCTACGGCGATGCTGTGGCCGCGGCTGGCGGCGACCGAGTGGGCGGCGCTGGCCTGGGAGCTGCTGGGCGCCTCGGTGCTGCTCCTCGCGGTGCGCTGGCTGGTGCGGCGGCTGGAGAAGCGGCCACGGGGCCTGGACCGCAGCGGGACCCCGGCCCCGCAGCCCTGTGCGGCTGCCGCGCCGGACCCAGGTGAGTCGGGCCGGCCGGGTGGGCCCCGCGCCCCTCGCCCGCCTCCCGGCGTCTGGGTGCCGTGCTGGGAGCTCTTGGACCCGGGCTCCGCGCCCCTCGCCGCCGCCTCCTCCGTACCTACCCCTGGCGCGGGAAGAGCGGTTGGACCCGCCGCGCCGGAAGCCGCCGGAAGCCGGGCGGGCTCGCCTTGGAGAGGCCCCTGCGGCCACTGCGCCGGAGCCGGTGCGGAGAGCCGGGAGCGGCGTCCGCGCAGCCCGCAGGGCGCGGCGCGTGTAGCTGGGGTGTCGGCGCCGACCCGGGAGTGCTGCGTGGAAGCGGGCGGCGGGAGTGAGGCGCTCTGAGCCAGGTCGCTGGTGGCCGGGAGCCGCGAGAGGCGCCAGGGCCTGGGCCGCAGGCTCGGTGCCCGCGCTCGCCGTGCACGTGGGGCTGTCGGGAGGCGGCTGCGTGACGCGTCCCCGGCTCTGCGAGGGCGCCGCAGCGCGCGGAAGGCGCGGGGAGCTCCGCGCGGGGGCAGGTGTCTAGGTGCGGGTGTGCGTTCAAAACGCGACTGCACCGAGAAACCCCTCCCCGTGCTCCTCCAGGGGGACAGGCGACAGCCCCTTCCGTGTTCGCTGAGGGAACAGCCCCCGCGGCTGGTGGGCGTCTTGCTGGGGTCGCGTGTGGCAGGCGCCAGGGCCGGTGCAGCTTTCCTCCTGCTGAGTTTTGCCTTTTCTTGTCCCCTTGGGGAAAACTTTTGGCAGGCCCTTAACACTTTTTATTAATTGGAAAGGCAGAGAAGCGAAGAAGGAGAGACATCTCATCTTCGCCCGGTGATTCGTTCCCTTACACGCCTGTCATAGGCTAGGAGCTGCGCACAGGTCAAAGCCCAGGCCTTCCCACACGGTGCAGAGCCCCTACATGCTGCTAGCCAGCGTGCACAGTAGCAGGAAACTGGATTGGAAGCGGAGCTGGGACTTGAACCCAGGACTCCAGTATGGGATGCTGGCACCCCAAGCAGCAGCTGAACCCCTGCACTTCAATGCCTGCCCCAGGCAGCACCCTGAAGAAACAGCACATTTGCCTGTCGTCTGCATCGTCAACAGCAGACGCAGACACGCAGACGCAGCGTGCAACGCCGGAGGCTGGCACTGAAGCTTACTTGTTGGCTGGTTAGGGAAGGCCCGAGACACAGGAGGCTGTGGGGGTTTTCCAATGAGAATTTCACTTTGACTTTTCATTTTGGAACCATAGGCTTATAACAGAGTGGAAGACTAGTGCAGAGAAAATAAACATCTGAGAAGGTCTCTGGTGTCCTTCTCTAAGGAAATACAGAATACAGCCACGATGAACTAGCACGCACACCTGTAGTAAAGGCTAAACTTTATTTATTTATTTTTGACAGGTAGAGTGGACAGTGAGAGAGAGAGACAGAGAGAAAGGTCTTCCTTTGCCGTTGGTTCACCCTCCAGTGGCTGCCGCGGCTGGCGCGCTGCGGCCGGCGCCCCTCGCTGATCCGAAGGCAGGAGGCAGGTACTTCTCCTGGTCTCCCATGGGGTGCAGGGCCCAAGCACTTGGGCCATCCTCCACTGCACTCCCTGGCCACAGCAGAGAGCTGGACTGGAAGAGGGGCAACCAGGGCAGAATCCAGTGCTCTTACCCGGACTAGAACCTGGTGTGCCGGCGCCGCAGGCAGAGGATTAAGGGCTAAACTTTAAACGTAGCGTATTTCCAGTCGGCAGAGTGCGTGAGTGGTGCGGCCCCTCTAGAAATCAGTCTGGCCATTTCTCAGAGAAGTTAAACCTGCCCTGCACTCCTGAGCTTTGTTGTAGAGAAATGAACATTTTTTTCACACGAAATCTCATATGTGCGTGTCACGCTAGGGGTGAATGGCTAAATAGACCCTGTTCCGACCACAAGTGCTACTCCTCAGGGTGGTTGGGGCTCAAGGGCCCAGTGCAGAGTGAGAAGGAGCAGTACTGTAGGTGTGTACTGGATTCCGTTTGTATAGCATTCTTACCGTGAAAAATTATAGACAACAAATTTGTGGTTGCCAGGGGCTGGGGCCCATGGAGGAGATTGGGTGTCACTGTGAAGGGGCAGTAGGAGAGAGGTCTTTGTGGTGATGGACATTTCTGTGGTGATGGTCACACACACTGTCACAGAACTGGGCACAGATACACACACACTCACCCCTGTTAGAATGGCTCACATACAGAAATCAACTAACAACAGATGCTGGTGAGGATGTGGGGGAAAAGGCACACTAACCCACTGTTGGTGGGAATGCAAACTGGTCAAGCTGCAATGGAACACGGTTTGGAGATTCCTCAGAAACCTAAATATAACCCCACCATACAACCCAGCCATCCCACTCCTCGGAATTTACCCAAGGGAAATTAAATTGGCAAATAAAAGAACTGTCAGCACCTCAGTGTTTATTGCACTCAATTCACAATAGCTAAGACATGGAATCAGCCTAAATGCCCATCAACATAAGACTGGATAAAGTACACCATGGAATACTACACAGCACTAAAAAAAATGAAATCCAGTCATTTGCAACAAAATGGAGGAATCTGGAAAACGTCATGCTGAGTGAAATCAGCCAGTCCCAAAGGGACAAATATGTTCTCCCTGATCTGTGACAACTAACTGAGCACCTAAAAGGAAACCTGTAGAAGTGAAACTGACAGTATGAGAAGCAATTTGCCCGCAGCCCAGGAGGTTCAAGGTGTTGTGTCAGTGTCAGCTTCTTAAAGATTTTTGTTTTTAAAAATTTATTTACTTGATAGGCATAGAGACAGGCAAAACAAAGAACTTCCAGTTCATTCCCCAAATGCCTGCAATGGCTGGACCAGACCAAAGCCAGGAGCTAGGAGCCAGGAATTCACTCCAGTATTCCTCCTGTGTGGTAGGGACCCAGGTACATGAGCCGTCACCAGCTGTCTCTCAGAGGCATATCAACAAGAAGCTGGGTCAGAAGTGGAGACAGGACTGAGAGCCTCTGATACGGGAAGTGGGTGTCCCAAGTGGCGTCTTAACCTCGGAGCCGCAGGTTCATCCTGACACCTTTTCTTGACTCCCCAGTGAGGAGCTCGCTTTTGCTTCGCCCTCAGTGTACACAAGGGAGAGCTCAGAACTCCCGAGCCAGACTGCTGTGTGGAATGCATTGCTGGACTGTGGCAGGTCTGGTTAGCTTTGGGGTACCTGCTCACCTGCTGTTTCCAGAACTACTTAGAGGAATATCCACATACACTACCGTGTTACTCATATATACCAAGGTGGATGTTTTGGTTTGTATTGAGTTTATTTGATTTTTTTTTTAAGATTTATTTATCTGAAAGGCAGAGTTACACAGAGGAGAGGCAGAGAGAGAGAGAGAGGTCCTCCATCCTCTGGTTCACTCCCTAAATGGCCACAACAGCTGGAGATGGGCTGATCCAAAGCCAGGAGCCAGGAGCTTCTTTTTGGTCTCCCACATGGGTGCAGGGGCCCAAGGACTTGGGCCATCTTCTGCTGCTTTCCCAGGCCATAGCAGAGAGCTGGATCAGAAGTGGAGCAGCTGGGACTCAAACTGGCTTCCATATGGGATGCTGGCACTGCAGGCACAGTGCTGGCCCTTTGATTTTTGAGTATATGAATTACCAACATGCTTCTGAAAGTCAGGACCCTAAAACACTTGCAGTCAAAAGTGCTGTTCCGGGGCCAGCACTGCGGCGCTCTAGGTTAATTCTCCGTCTGCGGCGCTGGTATCCCATGTGGGCAACGGATTATGTCCCGGTTGCTCCTCTTCCAGTCCAGCTCTCTGCTGTGGCCTGGGAAGGCAGTGGAGGGTGGCCCAAGTGCTTGGGCTCCTGCACCCGCATGGGAGACCAGGAAGAAGCACCTGGCTCCTGGCTTCGGATCGGCACAGCGCCGGCCATTGAGGCCATTTGGGGAGTGGACCAACGGAGGGAAGACCTTTCTCTCTGTCTCTCTCTCTCACTGTCTAACTCTACCTGTCAAATAAATAAATGAAAATCTTAAAAATAAAAAAAGGTGCTGTTCCCCACACCTTTCTACTCCCAGTGTTCCCCAGACTGTTCTGCTTTGTCCTTGGCTTCCTTGTGTGCATGAAAGCAGGCTCTTCTCTTAATGATTACAAATACTGGAAACAGTGTACTTTTTAAAAGTTTCAACTTGACTTTCTAGCATATTAAATACTTATTCTCAGAGATTACTAAACCTGTGTTCCTGCGGTAGCTTAATAGCTGTAGTAGAGATTTACAAATAACTTGTCATGTCAGACACAGTGATACAGATTTGAATGTGTTTATTTTGACTGATTTCTCAAAGTAGAGTTATTATAGTGTGCACTTTATAGATGAGGAAAGAGAGTCTTAGCATTTACACGGTTTGATTCTGTTGTAACGGGGATTCCATGTATTTGTTCTGTTAGGGATCCCTCTCAAACCCAAGTTAAAGGGCTGGCCTTGGTGTAAGGATGCCTGCTGCCCGGGAATGCTTGCTGGCGGGTCTGCTCCTGCTCACCTTGCCTGCAGCTGTGGGCGCCCTCTGCCTGCTCTGCCCCAGAGTCCTTAGAGCCTTCGTACCACTTCCCTACACCTAGCCAGAATTGGGCTTAGTGCTCACCCGGTCAGAATCTGGGGTCGTTAGGCCTCCCTTCCAGTCCTTGGCAGCTTTATAGGGGACTGTGTAATACGTTCATTGTTTCAAAGATCAGTATCCCAGTTCAGATAATGAAGAGTCATTTTTAAAATCTTTGTGGAGTTGGCATTGTGTTACTCTGAAGTAACATATTTGATCTTCTCATTTCCTCCTATACAACTCCTAAATCCTTGAATCTTCAAGGCCGTGTCTTTTTCTGTATGCTAATGAGCTGACTGATGGCCTGCAGCCCCTGGGTAGCATCAGGATGGGTTCTGGGCTGGTCACAGTAAGGCCAGAGGGCTGGGACTTTCAGTGCCACCTCCCTGTAACCAGGGAGGGGAGAGGAGGGACTGCCAGTTGAGTCCATCACCAATGGCCATAGCTGGCTGGCCATGCCTGTACAATGAGAGTTTCTGATCTGCTCTGAGGAAGTTCCTGGAGATGGCCCTGGAGAGCCCAGGGAAGCTCCGTGCCCCTTGCTACATGCCCTGCCCTGTGTGCCTCCACCACTGGACTCTTCATCTGTAGCTTTCATGATATCCTTTATAATAATAAATGCGTAAGCTGATAAGCTGCTCAGGAAAATTAATCAAATGCAAATGATATGCACAGCCTTGTATGTTGGCATTTTCTGGGGGAGCGTCTTGTTGGACTGAGCCTCCAGGGAGACAGTGCCGGCTGCAGAACTGACTGCTTGCTTTGTGTGTGGAAAAGACCCATATCGGTGATCACAGCAGCCTTCCTGTGACTGGTGCTGACAGAGCAGGAAAAATGCTTCAATGTTCTTTCCTCCTGTATCCATGAGGAATTATAAAACATGCTTTTAAATTAAAAAAAAAATACACAGAACTAGCCGGCGCCGCGGCTCACTAGGCTAATCCTCCGCCTAGCGGCGCCGGCACACCGGGTTCTAGTCCCGGTCGGGGCGCCGGATTCTGTCCCGGTTGCCCCTCTTCCAGGCCAGCCCTCTGCTGTGGCCCGGGAGTGCAGTGGAGGATGGCTCAGGTGCTTGGGCCCTGCACCCCATGGGAGACCAGGAAAAGCACCTGGCTCCTGGCTCCTGCCATCGGATCAGCGCGGTGCGCCGGCCGCAGCGCGCCAACCGCAGCGGCCATTGGAGGGTGAACCAACGGCAAAGGAAGACCTTTCTCTCTGTCTCTCTCTCTCACTGTCCACTCTGCCTGTCAAAAAAAAAAAAAAAAAAAAAATACACAGAACTAGATGGGTGCCCCTCCCATGCACCTGGCACCAAGAAAATTTTTTTTTGGTTTTAATTTTTTTTAAGATGGCTTTATTTATTTGAAAGAGTTAGAGATAGAGGTCTTCCATCCTATGGTTCACTCCCAAATGACTGCAATGGCCAGGGCTGGTCCAGGCCGATCAAGGAGCCTGGAACTCCATCCAGGTGTCCGCGGGTTGCAGAGGCCCAAGCACTCGCACCATCTTCCACTGCCTTCCCCAGTACATTAACAGGGAGCTGGGTGCCATGTGGAGCAGCTGGGACTCAAAACCGTGCTCATATGGGATACCGGCCTCACAGACCCCGACTTAACCTACTCTGCAGTAATGCCAGCCCCATAGCAGGTGATAATGTTGTAGATGCCCCGTGCCCTCTGTCTTGTGTCCTGCTGAAATTCAAAGCTAGCCCTACATGTCCCGTTCCGTCATCATTATCGGTGAACACTTCTTAAACTCCTCTACTGTGGGGCCAGCGCTGTAGCATAGCAGTTAAAACTGCCAGCATCCCACATGGAATCCCAGCTGCCCCACTTCCGATCCAGCTCTCTGCTATGGCCTGGGAAAGCAGTGGAAGATGGCCCAAGTGCTTGGGCCCCTGCACACACATGGGAGACCTGGAAGAAGCTCCTGGCTTCAGCCTGATCCATTCCCAGCTGTTGTGTCCTGTTGTGGAGTGAACCAACAGATGGAAGATCTCCCTCCCTCTCTCTAACTCTGACTTTCAAATAAATAAATCTTTAAAAAGAAAATAAATAGCCAGTGCTGGCATCCCGTATGGATGCTGGTTTAAGTGCCAGCTGCTCCACTTCCAATCCAGCTCCCTGCTAATGGCCTGGGTGCTTGGGCCCCTGCTACCCACATGGGATACATGGATGAAACTCCTGGCTTCAGCCCAGCCCAGCCATTGCAGCCATCTTAGGAGTGAACCAGCAGATAGAAGATCCCTCCCCTCCCCCTCTCTCCCTGTCTCCCTGTCTCTCTCCCTCTCTCTCTGTAATTCTGACTCTCAAATAAATAAATAAGCCTAAACAACAACAAACAAAAAACAGCAACAACCCTCATTCCATGGGCTCTGTGTATGTGCTAGGTGCTTGTGAGTGGCTCTGCTGTTGAGTCTGGAAAAGAATTTCCCTCCTGGCCGGCGCCGCGGCTCACTAGGCTAATCCTCCGCCTTGCGGCGCTGGCACACCGGGTTCTAGTCCCGGTTGGGGCGCCGGATTCTGTCCCAGTTGCCCCTCTTCCAGGCCAGCTCTCTGCTGTGGCCAGGGAGTGCAGTGGAGGATGGCCCAAGTGCTTGGGCCCTGCACCTGCATGGGAGACCAGGATAAGCACCTGGCTCCTGCCTTCGGATCAGCGTGGTGCGCCGGCCGCAGCGCGGCGGCCATTGGAGGGTGAACCAACGGCAAAGGAAGACCTTTGTCTCTGTCTCTCTCTCTCACTGTCCACTCTGCCTGTTAAAAAAAAAAAAAAAAAAAAAAGAATTTCCCTCCTTTTGTTCTTCTGACTCCTTCTTTCCCAGCATCTAGACTAGGAAAAGTGGGTGTTACCACAGGCCTGTGTTACAGTCCTTCCAGCCTCATCTCGGGTGTCTGATTGTCCTGTCGTTAGGGCCTCCCTGTTGCTGCAGCAGTAGTCTGTGCCCGCCTGTTCTACCTTCTCCCTAGTCCAGCTGGCCACACAAGCCTGTAGAGCAGGAGTAGGGGATGGCCGTAGAAGTCCGTGGAATCATTGGCCTAGCCAAGGCAACCACAGGTAGGGCTTAAAATGCAGTGAATTTATGGCAGGCTAGTTTTTAAGTTGAAAACTGTGTGTGGCCTTGAATGATGCCACACTGTAAATATACTCAAATGGCCCCTGCTGCATAGTGATTGGCATACGCTTAACCTGTGCACTGATTAAAGGTGCAGCTGTGGTTCAGATCCACCTGATGTCTCTGTCACTTGGACAGACCACTTGGCCTGTCTGTGCTTCAGGATGTTCATCTGTAAGGTGGGGGGCCGCGGCGCCCTGCCCCACAGGGCTGTTGAGACAGTAAGCACTTGGAGCTGCTCAGCATCATAGAGCAGGGTGTGCCAGGGTGTGTGCAGCCTCTCTGTGTAAATCTTTGCCTAGTTGCCCGTCTCTTTGTGGGGAAGAGTGCAAGTGTGTCTGGTTTCTAGAGTTAAGACTTCACAGATGCTGTCAGATGCCTCCCGTGGGACTTGTCCCAGATGACACTGCAGTCAGCCTCGGGTAAGTGTACCTGTAAAGCTGTGTGCTGAGAACGTAGTGTGGTGGTGACATGGACGGAAAAGGCTGTCAGGTTCTCCAGAGCAACCGGAAGCTGCTTTTCATAATTTTGTGCAGATTTTAGATGTGAAGACTTGGAAACCACGAGAAGTGCCAGTAGACTGATTTTTGTTCCTTTCACCCTAGGTGAAACGACAATGGATGTGGTGTTGGCTCGATTGAAACTCCTGAACTCAGATGCCCTTAGAGAGGAAATTGTCAAAGCCGGATTGAAATGTGGACCCATCACATCAACCACAAGGTTCATTTTTGAGAAAAAACTGGCTCAAGCCTTACTCGGGCAAGGAACATCGCTCTCTTCCTTTCTTCCCAGCCACGAGGAGGCAGGTGCCACGGCCGTCAGCCAAGACACGCAGAGAACTCTGAAGTCTGCCGAAGAGAGCCTGCGTGAGCAAGCCAGTGTTCCTGAAGACAGAGAGTTTGGTTATGGCGTGGGCTTGAACCCTCCCCAGGAGGACGCTGTGACATCCGCGAGCTGCTCGGTGCCCTTCTGTGCTGCAGCCCACATCAACACCCACAGAGCTGGTGTGCCAGCCACTAAGGAGCCACCTCTGTACTATGGGGTCTGCCCTGTGTACGAGGACCTCCCAGTGAGAAACGGTACTATGGCGTGGTCAGTGTTTCCTCACATGGGTGGTACATGTACTGCAGAGGGAAAAGGTTTGGAAAATCAAAAACTATAGGTGAAAAAAAAGAAAAAATAATTTTTTAACATGTTAGCTATTTTCATCAGCCCGCAACAACCTGGGCTGACCCAAAGCCAGGAGCCTGGAATTCCACCCAGGTCTCTTATGTGGATGGCAGGGACCCAAGTACTTGGGTCATCGTCCAGTACCTTCCCAGGTACATTAGCAGGGCACTGGATCCAAGTCAGAGCAGCTGGGACTGGAACTGGGTCCCTTGTATGGGATGTGGCCATCCCAAGCAGTGGCTTAACCCACTGTGCCATGACTCCTGTCTCTCTTACTTTCTTTGCTACTGTTTCCATAGTATGTATGTATGTATGTATTTATTTATATGACACGTAGAGTTAGATAGTGAGAGAGAGAGAGACAGAGAGAAAGGTCCTCCCTCTGTTGGTTCACTCCCCAAATGGCCACCACAGCCAGTGCTGCGCCAATCTGAAGCCAGGAGCCAGGTGCTTCTCCTGGTCTCCCATGCGGGTGCAGAGGCTCAAGCACCTGGGCCATCCTCCACTGCACTCCCGGGCCACAGCAGAGAGCTGGCCTGGAAGAAGGGCAGCCGGGACTAGAGCCTGGTGCCCATATGGGATGCCAGCGCCGCAGGCAGAGGATTAACCAAGTGAGCCATGGCGCCATCCCCTCCATAGTTTTTTAGAATTTGTTTTTAAAATTATTTTTATTTAGATCTTTCATCTGTGTGGAGTGTATTTTTTAGTATGGTATAGTATCTTAGTTTATAAAACTGTATATAATATACAGATAATGCTGCTTGCACACACACCTCCACATGCCATCAAGCATGTGAGCATAGTTGTGTTCTTTTGCTTAATGATCAAACACTGGACGGTGTACATAGGAGTGGATCTGGTGGCTGGGGCAGACATTTCAGTGAGGGAAGGGCTTGCTGCTCTCGGTCCTCTCTAATTTTCATTTGTTAATTTTCCCACCAGAACGGATCCATGTTTATGAAGATAAAAAGGAAGCATTGCAAGCCGTCAAAATGATCAAGGGGTCCCGATTCAAAGCTTTTTCAACCAGAGAAGATGCTGAGAAGTTTGCTAGAGGAATTTGTGATTATTTCCCTTCCCCAAGCAAATCTTCATTACCACTTTCTCCTGTGAAAGCACCATTCCTTAGCAACGGCGGGTTAAAAGGTAAGGCAGACGGTTGGCAGCTTGACTTAGTGTCAGATTTATTGTGCTCCCTCCTGGTATATGTTTGCTGGTTTCCTCCTCCTGTGAGGAAAGTGCCAGGCAGAGGGACAGCCAGGGGAGAACAGGAAGGAGTTGTTGCCTGGTCTGGGAGTTTCAGGACGTGAGGGCAGAGGCCTGGGGGCTACAGCTGGGGAGCTGGCCCATAGCATCTGGACTGGGGAGCTGGCCCATAGCAGCTGGACTGATGAGCTGGCCCATAGCAGCTGGACTGATGAGCTGGCCCATAGCAGCTGGACTAGGGAGCTGGCCCATAGCATCTGGACTGGGGAGCTGGCCCATAGCATCTGGACTGGTGAGCTGGCCATAGCATCTGGACTGGTGAGCTGGCCCATAGCATCTGGACTGATGAGCTGGCCCATAGCAGCTGGACTGGTGAGCTGGCCCATAGCATCTGGACTGGGGAGCTGGTCCATAGCATCTGGACTGGTGATCTGGCCCATAGCAGCTGGACTGGGGAGCTGGCCCATAGCAGCTGGACTGGGGAGCTGGCCCATAGCAGCTGGACTGGGGAGCTGGCCCATAGCATCTGGACTGATGAGCTGGCCCATAGCATCTGGACTGGTGAGCTGGCCCATAGCAGCTGGACTGGGGAGCTGGCCCATAGCAGCTGGACTGGGGAACTGGCCCATAGCATCTAGACTGGGGAGCTGGCCCATAGCAGCTGGACTGGGGAGCTGGCCCATAGCAGCTGGACTGGGGAGCTGGCCCATAGCAGCTGGACTGATGAGCTGGTCCATAGCAGCTGGACTGGGGAGCTGGCCCATAGCATCTGGACTGATGAGCTGGCCCATAGCAGCTGGACTGGGGAGCTGGCCCATAGCAGCTGGACTGGGGAGCTGGCCCATAGCATCTAGACTGGTGAGCTGGCCCATAGCATCTAGACTGGGGAGCTGGCCCATAGCAGCTGGATTGGGGAGCTGGCCCATAGCAGCTGGACTGGTGAGAAGCAGTAAGGGAGTGCAGTTGCTCCTCTCTCATCATCAGGCCCCCTTCCTCATTGGAGGCTACAGCTGCTTCTGAAACAGGCATCTGCAAAGCCAGGCGGCATGTGAGAGCCAGAAATCTGACCGAAGCTCTGTCTGACTCAGAGCCAGAGTCTTGTTTGGACCCTCCGCCGCCTCTGCTTCCTTCCCCAGCTCACAGCTGTCTGCTGCCCAGGCTGTTTGAGGTTCCAGAGGGACAGTGCCTTCTCTTGCACGTCTGACCCCCCCTGCCCTAATCCCTAATCCAGCTGTGTGCGGGTGCTTCCTGGACACAAACTGGATTGAGTCCAATAGTTTCTTAGTTTGTGGAAATTCCCCTAGAGGAAAACACTTTTAGACCTTCTCGGGTGTTTTGATGAAAGCAATGGGAGTAGGGGTGGCGTTGTGGTGTGACAGGTGGAGCTGCTTACAACATCAGCATCCCACATCAGAGTACTGGTTTGAGTCCTTGCTGCTGGTAGGGCTTGGGAAGGCAGTAGGGACCTTGGGCCCTTGCTGCCGGTGTAGGAAATCAGGATGGCGTTCCAGGCTCCTGATTTCAGCCTGCCCAGCCCTGGCCATTGGAACTGTTTGTGGAATAAGCCAGCAGATGGAAGATCTCTCTTTCTTTCTGTCACTCAACCTTTCAAATAAATAAATCTCCAAACAACAACAGCAAAACAGTGGGAATCATGTGTGCGGCACTGCTGGAGTAGTGTTATCCATTCTGGAGTGCTGTGCACATTAAAGCTTCCCTGTGGAGGCCGGCACTGTGGCGTAGTGGGTAAAGCTGCCGCCTGCAGTGCCAACGTCCCATATGGGTGCCAGTTCAAGTCCTGGCTGCTCCACTTCTGATCCAGCTCTCTGCTGTGGCCTGGGAAAGCAGCAGAAGATGGCCCAAGTCCTTGGGCCCCTGCACCCATGTGGGAGACTGAAAAGAAGCTCCTGGCTCCTGGCTTTGGGTCAGCCCATCTCCAGCCATTGTGGCCATTTGGGGAGTGAACCAAAGGATGGAAGACCTCTCTCTCACTCTCTTGCTCTCTCATTCTCTTTGCAACTCTGCCTTTCAAATAAATAAATCTGGGGTGGGGGAAGCTCCCTTGTGACTGATGATACTGTCATGGTTGCAGCTGCCAGTGCCCCTCTTCTACCCACTGGACTCTGACGTAGCTTTCCAAGTTCACCCAGTTACCCTTCATTCACAGTTGTCCCTGCTGGATCCCGTCTGGCCTGGCTACTCTGTCCTGGTGCCTGCAGCAGTGCCGGGGGGGACACTGGCATCTGCAGCTGCCCTGCACCACTGCAGCTGTACCTCCCGGCTGGCTCATGGTCTGTGTAGGAGGCTTCTCACCCCTCAGAGTAGCACCTGTGAGATGATGGGAGATGTTGATGAAATTACTTACATGCTCTGAAATTGTGTCTCTTCTTGACAGGTGGTTTGTGTTCACCTGAGTCAGACATAGTGAACAAAGAGCGGGCAAACAGTTATAAAAACCCCCGCACCCAGGACCTCACTGCCAAGCTCCGAAAGGCTGTGGAGAAGGGAGAAGAAGACACCTTTTCTGATCTCATCTGGAGTAACCCTCGGTATCTGATTGGCTCAGGGGACAACCCTACCATCGTCCAGGTAAGCTCGCTTTCAGTGTTGTTCCTGCTGCGTGGTGGTGAGCACAGATGACGCTGAAAACGCGTTTTCTTCCAGGAAGGCTGCAGGTACAACGTCATGCATGTTGCTGCCAAGGAGAACCAGGCTGCGATCTGCCAGCTGACTCTGGAGACCCTAGAAAACCCCGAGTTTATGCGACTCATGTACCCAGATGACGACCTGGGCATGCTGCAGAAGCGCATCTGCTACATCGTTGATCTCTATCTGAACACTCCTGACAAGATGGTGCGTGCTCATTCTGTCTCTTTCGTTTTTGTTGTTGTTGTTGTTTTTTATTAGACAGGTAGAGTTAGAGACAGTAAGAGAGAGACAGAGAGAAAGGTCTTCCTTCCGTTGGTTCACTCCCCAAATGGCTGCTACGGCTGGCACTGTGCTGATCCGAAGCCAGGAGCTGGGTGCTTCCTCCTGGTCTCCCATGGGGTGCAGGGGCCTAAACACTTGGGCCATCCTCCACTGCCCTCCCAGGCCACAGCAGAGAGCTGGACTGGTAGAGGAGCAACCGGGACTAGTACCCGGCACTCTAACCAGGACTAGAACCCGGGGTGCCGGCACTGCAGGCAGAGGATTAGCCAAGTGAGCCACAGCGCTGGCTTCTTTCATTTTCAGTAGAAAACATAGCCAGTTTTGTAGTTAAAGATCTGTGCTCCTCGTGTATTGAGTATTTCTTATATTTCTGGCCTCTGTATCAGTATGCAAAACATGTCCATTGAACTTAGAGCTTAGAAAATGTTGGGAAGATGAGACACTCAAATGAGTGGGCCCCACCAGGCAGGTGCACATTGGCCTCGCTGGCTGCTCCCAGCCTGATGGTATGGACAGCAGGAGCTGCTCATGGCGCCTTTGCTCTTGGGCTTTGTCAAGAGAGGCATGAGCTGGGCTTTGACCAGAGGATGAACGATGGCAAAAAATGTAGAAAAGAAAGTAAAACAAATTTTGAGATCGTCTAGTATTTTATATGTGTCTTTTATGTATTTTTTTTCCTCGATCATTACATTGGGAATATTTCCTATGGGACCAATTTCAAAGGCTTGTTTTTTAACGGTCACCTAAAGCTTCAGTAAGAATTCATGGAACAGAGCGATTTGTGTGTTTTATGTGGGAAAATGCAGTGATAGCCTGGATCCAAGAACCCATAAGCTCCACAAACTCATGCATGGGGAAACTGCAGTGGGAGTGAAGGAGGCCTCCTACACTGGGGCATTGTTTGTTGTTTGAGGGTGCGGTGACATGATACACTGAACTGTAGAATTGAAAAGCAGGAGTTACCTCAACAAGACAGAAAAAAGGAAGTGTGGAGAAAGTTGGCTGTGCTGGCAAAGTCACAAATAGATAAAAGGACTACAGTAACTTGGGATGCTGAGAGGTCAGTAGCCGTGTTGGCTGTGCTGTCACAGCCTTCAGCATCCTGCCTTGGGGCTTTTGCCACACACCAAGCAAGCAGTCAGTTCTGCAGCAGACCCTGTCTCCCTGGAGGATCCAGGCCCCAGGCTGAAGACTCAGTCCCAGAAGGTGCTCCCCCTGTGAATGCCAACTGCAGTTGTGCTCTGACCGACAACTACAAATCAGGTATCAATCCCCTTGGGTTTGATTAATTTATTTGACCAGTTTACTTGCCTATCAAAGGATATTATGGGCAGATGATCTGGTGCAGTGTGTTAAGCTGCCCTTGCTTGTGATACTGGTTCAAGTCCCAGGGGCTCTGCTTCTTTTTTAAAATATTTATTTATTTATTTGAAAGTCAGAATTACACAGAGAGAGGAGAGAGGTGGAGAGGGAGAAAGGGAGGGAGGGGTCTTCTGTCTGCTGGTTCACTCCCCAATTGGCTGCAATTGCCAGAACTGTGCTGATCCAAAGCCAGGAGCCAGGAGCTTTTTCCGGGTCTCCCATGCAGGTACAGGGGCCCAAGGACTTGGGCCATCTTGTACTGCTTTCCCAGGCCGTAGCAGAGAGCTGGATCAGAAATGGAGTAGCCGGGACTCGAACTGGCGCCCATATGGGATGCTGGCACTGTAGTCAGCAGCCTTATGTGCTATGCCACAGCACCGGCCCCTGCTCTGCTTCTGATCCAGCCTCCTGCTAGGAAGGCAGCAGATGGTGGCCCAAGTATTTGGGTCACTGCCACCCGTGTAGGAGACCCAGCTGAAGTTCCTGGCTCCTGGCTTCAGCCTGGCCCAGCCCCTACTGTTTTGTATATTTGGGGAGTGAACCAGTGGATGAAAGATAGCTCTCTCTCCCCCCACTCACCCTCTCTGTTTCCCTACCTTTCAAATAAATAAATAATTAAATAAATCTTAAGGGAAAAAAAAACCTCAGCTATTACAGAGGATACAGATGAAGAGTCCAGTGGTGGAGGCACACAGGGCAGGGCACGGAGCTTCCCTGGGCTCTCCAGGGCCATCTCCAGGAACTTCCTCAGAGCAGATCAGAAACTCTCATTGTACAGGCATGGCCAGCCAGCTATGGGCATTGGTGATGGACTCAACTGGCAGTCCCTCCTCTCCCCTCCCTGGTTACAGGGAGGTGGCACTGAAAGTCCCAGCCCTCTGGCCTTACTGTGACCAGCCCAGAACCCATCCTGATGCTACCCAGGGGCTGCAGGCCATCAGTCAGCTCATTAGCATACAGAAAAAGACACTTGAAGAATTTTTTCTTTTGTTTTCCCTAAACAACACAGCATAGCAACTGCTTATGTAGTACATAGATTGTATTAGCTATTCTTGGTGATCTGTAGAGATGCAGGATAACAGAGGGGATAAGCGTTGTAGCACAGAACATTCACTGGAGTGCCTGGAAGAGTTCTACATCTGCTTCTGACCCAGCTCCCTGCTGATGCATGCTGGGAGTCAGCAGTGATGTCCCAAGTACGTGGTTCCCTGCCACCCAGGATGTGAGAGACCAGGGTGGAGTCTGACTCCTGCCTTTGGTCTAGCCCAGCCTTGACTGTTGGGGCCATTTGGGGAGTAAACCAGTGGATAAAAGATCTTTCTCGGCCGGCGCCGCGGCTCACTAGGCTAATCCTCCGCCTAGCGGCGCCGGCACACCGGGTTCTAGTCCCGGTCGGGGCGCCGGATTCTGTCCCGGTTGCCCCTCTTCCAGGCCAGCCCTCTGCTGTGGCCAGGGAGTGCAGTGGAGGATGGCCCAGGTGCTTGGGCCCTGCACCCCATGGGAGACCAGGAAAAGCACCTGGCTCCTGGCTCCTGGCTCCTGCCATCGGATCAGCGCGGTGCGCCGGCCGCAGCGCGCCGGCCGCGGCGGCCACTGGAGGGTGAACCAACGGCAAAGGAAGACCTTTCTCTCTGTCTCTCTCTCTCACTGTCCACTCTGCCTGTCAAAAAAAAAAAAAAAAAGATCTTTCTCAAGGCTGGTGTTGTGACACAGCAGGTTAAGCTTTTGGGATGCCATCATCTCACATCATAATGCCAATTTAAATGCCAGCTGCTCTGCTTCCCATATAACTCTCTGTTTATGCTCCGGGAAAGCAGCAGCAGATGGCCTTGCCACCCATGTGAGGGGCCTGGGTAGGGTTCTAGGCTCCTGACCAGCCCCAGCCATTGCGAGGTAAACCAGTGAATAGGAGATCTTTCTCTCTCTTTCTCTCTCTGTTCTCTCTGCCTTTGTCTCTCATTGTACAATAAATCAGTTGTACAAAAAAAATCAATAAATCTTTTTAAAAATTTTATTATTTATTTGAAAGGCAGAGTTATTAGAGGCAGAGGTAGAGAGAGAAGTCTTCCATCCACTGGCTCACTATTCAAATAGCCACAACAGGTAGAGCTGGGCTGACCTGAAGCCAGGAGCCAGGAGTTTCTTCCAGGTCTCCCATGCAAGTGCAGGGGCCCAAGGACTTGGGCCATCTTCTGCTGCTTTCTCAGGCCACAGCAGAGAGCTGGATCAGAAATGAAGCTGCCAGAACTAGAACCGGTGCCCATACGGGATACCAGCACTGGAGGCAGCGTCTTTACCTGCCATGCCACAGTGCCGGCCCCAATAAATCTTTAAAAAGAAAATCCGGGGCCGGCGCTGTGGCTCACTTGGTTAATCCTCCGCCTGCGGCACTGGCATCCCACATGGGCACCAGGTTCTAGTCCTGGTCGCTCCTCTTCCAGTCCAGCTCTCTGTTGTGGCCCGGGAGGGCAGTGGAGGATGGCCCAAGAGCTTGGGCCCCTGCACCTGCATGGGAGACCAAGAAGAAGCACCTGGCTCCTGGCTTCGGATCGGCGCAGCATGCCAGCCATAGCAACTATTTGGGGGGGTGAATCATTGGAAGAAAGACCTTTCTCTCTCTCTCACTTTCTAGCTCTGCCTGTCAAATTAAAGAAAAGAAAAGAAAATCTGTCCCTCCATCTGTGTGTGTGTGCACGTGCATAATTCTGCCTTTCAAATAAATTAACCTTAAGGAATAACAGGCTGCTCCTAGGTTACACACAAACATGGGACTTGAGTACCTGTGGACGTGGTGTCTAGTTGGGGTCCTGAAAACAGGGACAGCCGCATTTCACAAGCACAAGAGTGAGGGTGAAATGGGAAAGAAGGTATAAATGTTATCAAACTGAGAACATAAAGATAGAAGATTTGGGGGCTGGCGCTGTGACGTAGTAGGTAAAGCTGCTGCCTGCAGTGCTGGCATTCCATATGGGCACTGGTTCAAGTCCCAGCCTCTCCACTTCCAATCCAGCTCTCTGCTATGACCTGGGAAAATAGTAGAGGGTGACCCAAGTCCTTGGGCCCCTGCACCCTTGTGGGAGACCCGGAGGAAGCTCCTGGCTCCTGGCTTCGGATCAACACAGCTCTGGCTGTTGCGGCCAGTTGGGGAGTGAACCAGCCTCTCTCTTTCTCTGCCTCTCCTTCTCTCTCTGTAACTCTTTCAAATACATAAATAAATCTTTAAAAAAAAAAAAAAAAAGATACAAGATTTGATCAGTACGATCAGCAAGTGTGGTTCTATAGATAGGAAAAGGAGCTGTGTGCTCTGCAGAAAGTACAAGAATGCATGTATCCAGAAATAAAACCTTAGTAAATTTGATGTCATAGGGGGCCGACGCTATAGCACAGAGGGTTAACACCCTGGCCTGAAGCGCCGGCATCCCCTATGGGTGCCGGTTCTACTTCCGGCTGTCCCACTTCTGGTCCAGCTCACGTGGAAGACCCGAAGGAAGCTCCTGGCTTTGGATCCGTGCATCTCCGGCCTCTGCGGCCATCTGGGGAGTGAACCAGTGGATGGAAGACCTCTCTCTCTGCCTCTCCCTCTCTCTATAACTCTGCCTTTCAAAAGAATAAAATAAATCTTTTAAAAAAATTTTGATGTCATAGGTCACCTTCTCTTTTCTTAGTCACTAAGAGTAGGAATCATTAAAGTCTTTAATTAATTAAAATACCTCAACTGGCTGGTGCTGCGGCTCACTAGGCTAATCCTCCACCTAGCGGCGCCGGCACACCAGGTTCTAGTCCCGGTCAGGGCGCCGGATTCTGTCCCTGTTGCCCCTCTTCCAGGCCAGCTCTCTGCTGTGGCCCGGGAGTGCAGTGGAGGATGGCCCAGGTGCTTGGGCCCTGCACCTCATGGGAGACCAGGAGAAGCACCTGGCTCCTGCCTTCGGATCAGCGCCATGCGTCGGCCGCAGCGCGCTAGCCGTGGCAGCCATTGGAGGGTGAACCAACGGCAAAAGGAAGACCTTTCTCTCTGTCTCTCTCTCTCACTATCCACTCTGCCTGTCAAAAAATAAATAAATAAATAAATAAATAAAAAATAAGATACCTCAACTGTTTAGAAACAACGGAAGTTTGTGGCGAGACTGCCTCACTAAAGAATACGAGGTTGCTGAGTTGTGGGACTGGCAGGAGAGTCCCTTAAGTGTGACAAGAGCCCAGAGCTAATGTTACTTGGCTGGAATGAGGGGAGAAATTGGGTGACCAAGCTTGCAGAGTGCAGGGCTGGCTAGAATTAGTCACTATGGGATGGGGGACAGTGACTTCAGAGCGGTCAGTTCTGTTGAGGGTTCTTGGAATGCAGAGTATACGTCTGGTGTGCAGCAGGGTTCTGGGGCCCGGAGCCTGTGCTGTCCAAGGGCGGCAGGAATCAGGAGTGGCCTGGTGGCTTGGGGAGCACGGGCTGGTGGTCGGCAGCTCTGGCACGTCAGCTGCCCCCTGCTTGGTACATGAAGCTGTTTGGAACTGTCCATGGCTGCTTTTCTGCTTCAGAGGCAGAGTTGGGTAGTTGTGGTAGAGACCAGGTACCCTACATCACCATGCAGCCCTTGACTGAGAAACCTCACCAGGCCCCAGACAGAAGGACAAGGCACAGAGCATGGTGGTGTAGGCTGCAAACACCCAGACCCTCTCAGGGTTCGAGGAGTCGGGTGAGATGCCGCAGTGGGTGATGACGCGCTGGCACCCGTCCCTCAGCTCGGGCTGCTGGTGGAGGTGGAGGATTTGCAAGGCAGCAAAGCTGGCGGGTCTTGAGAAGCCAAGGGGCCGGCAGCCAAGGCCCAGTGACAGACGTGGCCTTGGCAGTGACAGGCTGACTGCACAGATACATGTTTGGCTCTGGTAGATGGGAATGAATTCTGTTTGGCCTGTGCTACTTGAGCTGCCTGTAGGACCTGCAGGCCAAGGGCCCTGGGAGCAGCTGGCTCCCCAGGTCTCGGGCTTGGGAGCGCTATTGTGCATAAGGCCCTGCTCTGTATACAGCTGTTGAAGGTGGCTCTGAGACTGTGCAGAGAACGAAGAAGGAAGGAGCAGCTGGGAGGGGCACTTGGGATACCAGGAAGCACCTGGCAGCCATGTGGAGTGATGGCCTGAAGTCAGGACTGAGGAGTTTGGTTTACTATGAGGTCGGTCACCAGAGAGTTCTCATTAAGCACAGCCAGATTCATGGGCTTTGTTCATTATGGACATTGCCTCTCTCTGTTTATTTCACGTTTTGGGTATTGATTACATGATGTTGTCCTGGGACTTGAATTATTAAAGGTACTGGCTATTGAGCATCTTTGATTGTAAGCTCATGGTACTAGGCACCAAATAAACATCGATGTTATTCTAACGTTCAGTGTGCTGAACTCAAGTCCTGGCATACGTGAGTCTGTGCTAGTGTTCCAGCTACTCACCAGTTACAGTAGTAGTGACCCTCACGTTCTTTTAAAAAAAAAAAAAGATTTATTTATTTTTATTTGAAAGTCAGAGTTGCACAGAGAGAGGAGAGGCAGAGAGAGAGAGAGAGAGAGAGGTCTTCCATCCAATGGTTCACTCCCCAATTGGCTGCAGCAGCCGGAGGTACGCCGATCCAAAGCTAGGAGCCAGGAGCTTCTTCTGGGTCTCCCACGCAGGAGCAGTGGCCCAAGGACTTCGCCATCTTCCACTGCTTTCCCAGGCCATAGCAGAGAGCTGGATTGGAAGTGGAGCAGCTGGGTCTCGAACCGGCACCCATATGGAATACCGGTACTTTAGGCCAGGGCGTTAACCCGCTGTGCAAGGTGCCGGCCCCCCTCATGCTCTGACTGAGTTCCTCTGTACCTTTTTCAGGGCTATGACACGCCATTGCATTTTGCTTGTAAGTTTGGAAATGCTGATGTGGTCAACGTGCTTTCTTCACACCCTTTGATTGTGAAAAACCCAAGAAATAAATATGATAAGACACCTGAAGATGTAAGTAATTACTAAAATGCAGTTGTTGTTTTGTGTTAGAAATGAAAACACATAGATCACAGCTCTGTTGAAGTCACAGGTAACACTGTAGGAGTCATGTTTATTTACAGCCACGCCCCCTTGCACACACCTGATGTTGTCTAAGCTTGGCTTGGCTCAGGCCTGGTCAGTAGTTGGCGGGAGGAGTCAGGTTTGCCTTGGTGGTCATATCCGAGAACCCTGAGGAGGCAAGGTATCAGAGAGCCAGGGGTCAGTGAGCTGACCCAGTTTTTGGATTTTATTTTCTGGGGATGGGTGGTCAGTTCTGAACAACCCGGTCTTTTATCAGATACCCTGTCTGAACACATCCATTGGGCAGGGTCACAGAGAGGAGATAATGGTGATGGTGGTGAGAATGATGGGGATGATGGTGCTGGTGGGGGATGATGGTTGTGATAATGCTGTAATGATGCTGAAAACTGCTGATGTGTGTTCAGCCCAGTGTGCGCCAGGTGTAAGCTCAGCCCCTCACGCGTATTTTCACCTGACCTATGTGAGAGGTCTCTAGAAGGCTCATGGAAAATGTGTATCATGAGAAAACTAGGGAAGGGCATTGAGGTACAGCAGGTTAAGCTGGCGCTTGGAATGCCCGTATCTCATATCACAGTGACTGCTTTGAGTTCTGGCTGCTCTGCTTCCAGTCCAGCTTCCTGCTAATGCACTGGGAGCAGTGGATGGTGGTCCACGTACTTGGTTCCTGCCACCCATGCGGGAGACCCCAATGGAGTTCTTGGCTTCGGCTTGGTCTGGCCCACAGTATTTTTGGCATAAACAGCTATGCCTGCATTTCAAGCTTTTTTGCACCAAAATAAATAGATCTTTTACTTCTGTTTTTTTTTTTTTTCAGTGAACTCTGAAATTCCCTCTGCATGCCCATGAGGCAGGAGACAGCCTGATTAGAGCCCTGTGAGCTCTCAAGATGGCAGAGGCACAGTAGTTTTGTGGTCCCTTTCTTTCCTCTTATTTGACGATTAGAGAGGTTTTCTGTTGTTTCTAACAAAAGTATTCTTGTAGTTATCCAGAGATTCGTGATGCTGATTCCTGTTCTGTGGTCGCAAACATGTCACAGTTGTGGGTTCCATGTTGGGTGGAGGCTCTACTTAGAACCAGCTACGCAGATGTGGAGACCAGGCTCCTGGGCGTGCCACGCACTCTGCCCACACTTGATGGCACACTTCTGGTTTCCTTTGCTTGTACAAGTAGGAAGATGTGGGGCAGCATGAAGGAAGCAAGGTGGAGCTGCCCCAGAGCCCAGTTTGTTCTTGCGCCTGTCTCCTTATGGTCTCAGAGGGAACATCTGAGGTGGAAACCCTCCTAATCAGCACATACTCTTTTGGGTTGAGCTGTATGAATTTAACATTAAATTACTATCCTATATTGCTGCCTTTAAAGTTTGCTTTTTAAAAATCATTTTAATAATAGGAATTATCCCAAAATAAGATTTAAGATTATTCACTTACTCTGTTTTCTTTAAACAGGTGATTTGTGAAAGAAGCAAAAATAAACCTGTGGAACTGAAGGAGCGGATCAGGGAATATTTACAGGGTGAGCGAGGGCATGAGTGCCTGGAACGTGAGGCGTGGTTGTGGGGGTCCGCGCCTGCTCCTGCTGGTCTGCAGGGCACAGCAGAGGTTCGTCCGCTCTCTGAAGTCCGTGAGAACTCAGAGTTCCCCTCCAAAGCCTCCTGTGGGCCTCTTTTCTTTCCCGACTCCAGCAGCTTCCCCCTTCTTGGAATTCTTGTGTCTGTGCTGGTAGCCATTTTTGAGAGAACGGTGAGGTTCTGTCCTTTGACCACTGCTCATGGCCACACCAGCCCATAATCTCCACGTCTTGGGGATGGAGGGGTTTCCAGGGGTCCCTCGGACGCGGAGGTCTTGGCGGCCATCCCTGCTCTTCAGGCAGAGCCTGCAGGTTGGCAGAGTGCAGGACAGGCAGCAGCCTGGATCTCCTTGTCTGGGGTTGGTTAGCTTCACTTTTGTTTGTTTCCAGGAAGGGGGATGGCTCCCCGCGGACCCCTTCGTTGGTGGCAGACGTGAGGATCGCGCCTCCCTCAGCTCTGCCTCCAGCAGGTCGGGCTCTCCGGGCCTGTGGAGGTGGCTGGTTTCAACTGGGCTCTTCCCCACCATCTTCCTCTGTGCTGTCTTCTGGGAGATTTTGCTGGAAGTCTGTGCTGTGCTCAGAGTGAACTTGTAGACATGTGAAGCTCCTTGACTTTCCTCTGTGGTACACCACCAAGGCCACCCCTTGTCCCCTGGTGTCTGCACCCTCCCAGCCTGACCGTTTCCCTGTGTAAAGCTCCTGGGGCCCCCACTAGTCCTTGGGTCCCCTCCCATCCTGGGGTTCTTGCTGGTTGTACTTCCTGAGTGGACAGCACTGCACACGAAGGAAAGCACCCCGTGTGCTGAGGGCAGAGGTGTCGTCCTCTGGGCCATCCGGGCCTTGGTCCTGGAGGCCCAGCTGGAAGCTGCAGAGGCCTGGGAATGGATAGCGGTATTCCCGGGACCCCCGAACAACCAGACTGTCTGCTCTGTGGAGTCTCCAGCCATGCTGTCAGAGCTGCTTTAAAATGGTGACATGAAGCGTTATTTTGTGACGATAATTAGGTGGCAGTTCTGAGGGCTTTCCTGTTTGTGACCGTGAGACACTCACCTCAGATCTGTTCATCCAGCTGTTTCCTGAGGGGAAAACACACTCAGTCCCCGGCCTCTTGGTTTGCTGTCCACTCCTTCAGAGTTCTTGCACGTCGTCCCTGGTTCTTTCCGAGAGTCCCTTGTCGGGCCCAGGCATGAGTCACCTGGGACGGTCATGCTGTGCCTCTGTCGCCTTGCAGGGTCACACACTAGACAGCGTGCTGCAGGCCTGGCCACATCCCGGCTGCTGTCCTCACGCTCAGCAAGAGATGTGTGCTTGTGTGCAGAGGGAAGACAAACGATATAAAATCATTGAGAGGGGATGACCTCCATTTTTTTAAGACATGAAGAAATTTTTTTAAAAGATTTTATTTATTTGAGGGGCCGGCGCCGTGGCTCACTTGTGCGGCACCGGCATCCCATATGGGCGCTGGGTTCTAGTCCCAGTTGCTCCTCTTCCAGTCCAGCTCTGTGCTGTGGCCCAGGAGGGCAATGGAGAATGGCCCAGGTGCTTGGGCCCCTGCACCTGCATGGGAGACCAGGAAGAAGCGCCTGGCTCCTGGCTTCAGATCGGCACAGTGCTGGCTGTAGTGGCCATTTGGGGAGTGAACTAACAGAAGGAAGACCTCTCTCTCTCTCTCACTCTCTCTCTCTCTCTCTCTCTCTCTGTCTATAACTCTACCTGTCAAATAAATAATAAAAAGATTTTATTTATTTGAAAGCCACAGTGACAGAAGGAGAGAGAGAGAGAGAGATCTTGCATATGCTGATTCACTCCCCAGATGCCCACAGTAGCCAGGGCTGAACCGGGCTGAAGCCAGGAGGCAGGAGTTCCATCCTGTTCTCCCTTGTGGGAGGCAGGGGCTGAAGTACTTGAGCATCATCTGCTGCCTCGCAGGAGCATTTAACCTGCTGTGAATTAAAGTCTCGTAGTCGGCAAGTGTCCTGGACACACCTAATCCGCTGGTTGCCACAGCCTGGGCACACGGGACACCACAGAGCCTCAGGCTGCATCCCTGTGCTCACGGGGCTGTCGGAGCTGAGGCTGCTGCTTCTGGGGAGGACTGGCCGCCAGGTGCTAGTGTGGGAAGGTCGAGTCCAAGGATGCCTTCCAGAGTGCCTTCCAGAGTGCCAGTCACCCCATGGGGCTAGGTCAGGGCGGGGGCCAGATGAGGGAATTGGGAGAGTGAGGGATGGGGAGTACACCTCTCAGACGCGTGCCCGGCTCCCACTGCGTGCTGACCCGCTCACTGGTTGGGCCTCTCTCGCGATTAACCTGCTGCAGGAAGCTGCTGTCTGGAGTCCCTACCCTCTTCCTTGCGTCTTCTTCCCTGTTGTAGCGGAGGCTGACTGGGTTGAGTGAGTGCTGGCGCAAGACAGCCTTGGCTGTCTTGTCTTGTCTCCAGAGCCTGTGGTGTTTTATCCCCTTGCCGTCCACTCGCAAAGTCTGCAGGAAATGCTTCCACCCTCCTCGTGCCACTCTGCCGACCCGGCACGTGGATGTGACCTGAGCTGTGGCTGACACCCATCTCCCTGCAGGTCACTACTATGTGCCATTGCTCAGAGCGGAAGACACGTCCTCTCCCGTCATCGGGGAGCTGTGGTCCTCAGACCAGACGCCTGAAGTCTCCCACGCTGGTCACTCAGGAGGTGGCCCCCGGGACCCTGTGCTGACCCTGAGGGCTTTTGCAGGGCCCATGAGTCCATCCAAGGTGAGCTGCTGCGGAAGCTTCTGAAACCAGTTCCCGGCTGTCTCCACACTCCTGCTGGGGTCCAGCCTGGTGACTTGTGCTTAGAGACTCAAGTCACAGGCAGCCTGCAGGCGGACGTCCTCAGCAGAGTGGCCAGTGAGTTGGTGATGAGGCTTTGGAATGTCTTCCAGAGAAACCTTTGTTCCTGGGGGCCAGGCTGCTGTCTGGTTAGCCCGGGGTGTGTTTGCCTAGAGCCCACACTGCTCAGCCCAGTGGAGGCTCCTTGCCATCGAGGGAGGCTCCCCATCGTGGAAGTCCTTGTCTGCGCCATGTTGCCCCATGTGCACGGCTCCCGCTCAGTCTGCGTTCCGTGAGGTGCTTCACCTGTACCCACACCTCAGCCCTGGGGCTTCTGCTTAGAACCTGATGCTCACAGAAACCCTCGATGACGGGTCGCTGGGTCCATACTTAGGCACATTTTTATTTTTTAAAGATTTATTTATTTATTTAAAAGAGTTACAGAGAGGCAGAGAGAGAGAGAGAGGTTGTTCATCCACTGATTCACTCCCCAAGTGGCTGCAATGGCCAGAACTGGGCCGATCTGAAGCCAGGAGCTTCTTCTGGGTCTCCCACGTGGGTTCAGAGGCCCAAGGACTTGGGCCATCTACTGCTTCCCCAGGTCATAGCAGAGAGCTAGATCGGAAGTGAAGCAGCCGGGACTCTCACGGCACCCCTATGGGATGCCAGCACTGCAGGCGGCAGCTTCATCCACTACGCACAGCACCAGCCCTGCTTAGGTACGCTTTTATGCCAGCTTTTCAGTGAGAAATTCTTTCTGTGACAGACTATTTCATTCACTGGTTTGCTTGCAATCTCTTGCTAAAATCCTCCCAAATAATTAGTTATTTGCCACTGTAACAATGCCTCTAATCAGTTAGGGTTAGATCAACTGCACAAAGCCTAAAACTAGCAACAGTGACTTAAAAAGATCAGTGTTGGTTTCTTTGTGTACTGTGGTGGGAGGGGCAGCCCACACCTCAAGCTTGTGGCCTCCTGGGTCACTGGACAGCCCCTCCTGGAAGGAGCAGACCCCCCTCCCTCACGGGGCTCTCGGTTACAAGGCAGGTGGACACGTGGCTCGGGGTTCTGTTAACCAGGGGTGGTTGGGAGGCGGAAAGGATACTTTGGGGGGTGCACTGTGTGAGGCGTGTCTCATCGCACTCTGTCTTCCTAGGCAGAAGATTTTCGCAAACTCTGGAAGACTCCACCGCGAGAAAAAGCAGGCTTTTTCCACAACGTCAGGAAATCTGACCCAGAAAGAGGCATTGAAAGAGTGGGCAGGTACTTCAAGGGCCATCGCACGGAGTTGCAAGCAGTGCAGTGGCGCTGTGCGTTTGCTATGTGATTGTATTTGGTTGAAGACGGGAATACTAATCATTATTACCAACAAAATAATAGTTCCCAGGAAGCACATACTGGGAGATTTTACAGCCTTTTCCTTAAGAGCGGATTCCTTGGCAAGGTTAGCCTGCAGTTTGTGTTGCAGGATCTAGTTCAGCACGTCTCTCCCTGGCCATGGAGCGTTTCTGCAGCGCACTGCCAGGGATCTTACTACTCATGGGAGGTGCCAAGGGAGGCAGTGTTGCCTTGGGGAAAGACCACCACTGAAGCACCCTCCTCTGTTGAGACGCAAGAGGCATGGGTGGCTGGAGACGGCTGGCCAGAGAAAGCCCACAGATCCTGGGCTGGCGAGTGCTTCCTGATGCTTTTAGGGTTCTCAGTGTGCGTGCTGTATCAGGTCCACGAGCTGAACCTGAAAAGGAGCTGTGAATCTCTGGCCTAGCCAAAGCCAGTGTCAGACAACCTTACACACTGCTGTCGTGTGGAAACAGAGAGTGTCTGTGGGCGCAGTCTTACCGGGCACCTTTGCGCCCTCAGTTACTGGGGTGAGGGTGCATGGGCAGAGGCCTCGTTGCTGTGAGGACTCAGCCACCAAAGCAGCTCTGCAGGTGGAGACGCCTGGACCCTGCCCTGCTGGGGAAGCACTGTTGTTAAAAATACAGAATGACTGTGTCAGTTCCAAGTTTAGGGTAAAATGAGGTTATGCAAGTATGTATTGATGAAAATAACAAAACTGTAACTTTAGATTGCCAACTTTTTTTTTTTTTTTTTTTTTGTAGCATTAAGTGGCCATTTTCTGTGCAGTCCTTTGAGTGTGTTTTCTGGTTTCACAACTGGTTAATTGTGTTTTATTTCTTGCAGGGAGCTAGCTCATGAGCTGGGGTACCCCTGGGTTGAATACTGGGAATTTCTGGGCTGTTTTGTTGATCTGTCTTCCCAGGAGGGCCTGCAAAGACTAGAAGAATATCTTGCTCAGCAGCAATTGGGCAAAAAGGCTCAACAGGAAACGGGGGGGAAAGAAGCCTGCCTCAGAGACGGGGCCCCGACCTCAGGTGAGCAAGTGCGACCACAGCCAAGGCCAGGGGGGCTCTCCTGTGGCTGACCCTGACGGGGAGGCGTCTCTTCATGACAGTTTCAATGTAAGACTGGGATGCTTCTCCTTGGCTCACATTCAAGGTGTGTTGCCCGACTCCCACAAGCTTCCTTCTGTGCTATTGCCAAATGAGCTCACTGCCTGAGACTGTAACATTTTAGACCTGATGTTTTTAGGCATTTTTTTCTAAATACGCTTTATGCTCACATACACTGCATATGTGCCTGCATGACCAGGCAGGCCCACTGCAGAGCTCTGGGGCGTTTGCATCGGAGCCAGGGCCAGGTGTTTCAGGAGCAGGGAGTACAAAGATCATGGTGAAGAGTTAGTTTGACTAAACAAAACTTGCAAATACCACAGTGTTTTAAAAATATATAAAGTTCCTAAGTGTATATTTATAAGACAAAAGTATACCAAAAGTGAAATGTCAGATTTATTTGTTTGAAAGTGTTACAGAGAAAGGCTGGGTGGGGGAGACAGAGATCTTCCATCTGCTGGTTCACTCCCTCAGATGGCTGCAGTGGCCAGTGCCAGACCAGAATGAAGCCAGGAGCTTCATCTGGGTCCCAAACACTTGGGCCGTCCTCTGCTGCTTTTCCAGGTGCATTATCAGGGAGCTGGATCAGAAGTGGAGCGGCTGGGACACAAACCAGTGCCCATATGGATGCTGGCATCACATGCGGCGGTTTACCCTCTACACCACAGCACTAGCCCCGAAGGACAATGTCCTTTTTTTTTTTTTTTTTTTTTAATATTTTATTCATTTGAAAGGCACAGAGAGAGAGAAAGAGAGGTCTTGCTTCCACTGGTTCACTTCCCAGATGGCTGCAATGGCCAGAGCTGGGCTGATTCAAAGCCAGGAGCCAAGAGCTTCTTCCATGTCTCCCATGTGGGTGCAGGGACCCAAGGACATGGGCCATCTCTGCTTTCCCAGGCCATAGCTGGATAGGAAGTGGAGCAGTCAGGACTTGAACCGGCACCCATATGGGCTTTACCCACTATGCCACAGCGCCAGCCCCAGAACATGTCTTTAAACACACAGTGAGGCACCACTGAAGCCCTAGGAGGGCAAGAGTACCAGGGTGGGTTCTTGGCCAGCTGTGGCTCAGTTGGCTAATCCTCCGCCTGCGGCGCCAGCACCCCGGGTTCTTGTCTCGGTTGGGGCACCGAGTACTTGTGCCAGTTGCTCCTCTTCCAGTCCAGCTCTCTGCTGTGCCTGGGAAGGCAGTGGAGATGGCCCAAGTGCTTGGGCCCCGCACCCGCATGGGAGACCGGAGGAAGTACCCGGCTCCTGGCTTCGGATTGGTGCAGCGCCGGCTGTAGCGGCCATTAGGGGAGTGAACCAACGGAAAGAAGACCTTTCTCTCTGTCTCTCTCACTGTCTATAACTCTACCTGTCAAATTAAAGAACAAGTAAGAGTGGCAGGGTAGGGTGTATGGCCATGTCATGCAGTGTCTGGGAACAGTCTCCCCTGGAGAGGATTGGAACAGTGAGAACTCATGGCTCACCTCTCCTGCGGTGAGGATTAGTCAGATATATTGTTCCCCTATGCAGGATTGAAAGTCATGCTTTTAAAGAATAATGATAGGAAGAAAGACATACAGTTAACAATGAATGATGAGGAAGAAAGTCTACAGTTAATGGGAGAGAAACCCAAAACTACCTAAATTTCCTAGATATCTTTATGTGGAAGAAAACACCCACAAGGTACCCATAAACAGAAGAAAAAACAAAAACAAAAACAAAAATCATAGACAGGAGTTGGAGGGGGTGGCATTGGCTTCCCAGGCCCTTCTCCCTGCTCTCAGCTTCTGGGCACAGCTCAGGCTGCATCCGAGGAGCCGCCACTGTGAGCCAAACTCATGTTCTTCCTGGAGAGGAACTTGAACCGTGGTCCAGGGGCCCCCCATTGACACATCACCTTCATTTCCGAAAGAAAACTTTCTAATATGACTTGCTAAATAAAATTAAAAGTGATCTAGCAGAAACCTGCCATTACATGGAGATTTGGATTATGCCCCAAATAAAAATTTGAACAGAGAACACATTTAAAACTTTCCTTTAAGGGCTAAATTGAGGGGCCTTGTGCTGTGGCATAGCAGGTAAAGCTGCTGCCTGCAGTGCCAGTATCCCATATGTTCCGGTTTGAGTCCCGGTTGCTCCACTTCTGATCCAGCTCTCTGCTATGGCCTGGGAAAGCAGTAGTAGATGGCCCAAGTCCTTGGGCCCCTGCACCCACATGGGAGACCCAGAAGAGGCTCCTGGCTCCTGGCTTCAGATCAGCCCAGTTCCAGCTATTGCAGCCATCTGGGGCGTGAGCCAGTAGATGGAAGACCTCTCTCAATCTCTCTCTCTCTCTCTCTCTCTCTCTCTCTCTCTCTCTGCCTCTCTTTCTCTCTCTGTTTAACTCTTGACTTTTAAATAAGTAAATAAAAATCTTTAAAACAATAACAGGCTAAATTGAACCATTAGCCCAAAAGTCACCTACTTCACAAGATAGATTCCCTGGGTGTGATGTGGGAACAATAAAAAATGATCCACATGTACATTAAATTAAGAAGAGATAACACTTTAAAAAGTCACTGTGAATCTGAAACGTGGACTAGAGTGAAGCCCTGGAGTATCACCCTGGAGACGTTTAACCTGCTTTTGCCAAGAGGAGCTCACAGGTGTGTGGCCCCTGGCGTCCTTGAGGTCAGCAATCCTAGAGAGCTGACGGTGGGGTCCAGAGGCCAAGCTGCAGGTTAGGGCTGATGCGTTGATGTTAACGTTGGATCACTTCCCGAGTGACACATGCACAGTGCAGGGCGTCACAGCCACCTGGGCTTCTGTCACCAGGCAGGGTGTGTCCCTGCCCTGTCAGGACAGTGCTGCTCCCACAGGGTCCTTCTGTTTCGCTCGTCGAATAGAGAGGGGCAGCAGGCCCAGCCCAGTCCCCAGGGCGTGCCCGGCCCAGTGTTCTGCTTGCCTTTCCCCAGGAGTGAAGCAGGTAGTCTGAGGTTTGGAATTAAGAGTAAGTGGGTGCTTGGGTGCTAGCAGCTCTGTGTTGGGGTTCTGGTCCACGCCTGAGTTCTCCATTGTTGTCCTTGCAGGCAAGGGGAAAAAGGGCAGCAATTCCGTCTCTGTGGGGGCATTTCTAGACGAAGATGAGGAGATGAGCCTGGAAGAAATCAAAAACCGGCAAAACACAGCTCGAAGCAGCAGCCCGCTCACCATCCGTGCGTGGGGAGATTCCGTGTGTGGCACCCTTCCCTCGGAGCACAAGGCGGGCTTGATCGAAGCCGCAGCCCTGAGTGGTGTCCCCAGCAGCAGAAATGGATTCTTCAGTCCCAGCCAGAGCCCGGGTGGCAGGAGACCGAAGGCCGCCAGCAGAGAGGAAGCACTTCTCTCGCCTGTCTCTGATTTGACTGTTGACTTTGACAAGCTGAGTTTGCAAAATCTAGAAAGTGGCTTTTCCAGGACCCCAACACGATCTATGAAAACCGAAGAAAAGAAGATCCTGACCTCGAGAATGGACGCAGTAGAAAATGACTTGTTAGCGTCTCCACCTGCTGCAGACAGACTTGGAAAGGACCAGACAGAGACGGAGAGGGAAATGTCCCTGGAGCCCAGCAGCCCCGGGCATGAGGCCCAGGGCAGGCACACGCCCACGTCCCCCCCTGCCACCAGGCTCTTCCTCTTTGGGTAGGAGTTGATGTTCCGCATGTGTGGCGCTGTGGGGCTCCTTTTAAACCTTTCGTCTTCCTGGTTTGAAGTAAGGTTCCCTTGAGGTCCTCCCTCTCCTCGGGAGTACCTGTAGCTTCTGGATATAGCTGGGTCTGACCGTGATGGCTGACGTCCCTGGCTGCAGAACAGTGATTGGGTCTGCCCTGGGAACTTCACCGAGTCCCAGTGCCCAGTGCTGGAAGTCGCCAGCTTTATAGCACTGGCTGCCCTGAGAGCTGCACGTGAAAGCCGCCTTCCTAGTGGAGACGGCCCTTCTCCTCGACGCCTGCACTCACCTGTTAAGGGGTCTTGCCCACCACCCTTGTCCTGGGCGCCACCTCCTGCAGACCGCCAGTGTCCTCACGAGCTGGTGTTGGTGCCCTGGTTATCTGTGCTTGGGCCACATTGATTCTTGCATATTGAGGCCGGTGTTGTCATGCAGTGGGTTAAGCCACAGCTTGCAATGCTGGCATACCATGTTGGGGTGCTGGTTCAAATCCTGGCAGTACTTCCTTTTTATTTATTTATTTATTTATTTTTGTTTTTGGACTTACTGATTTATTTGAAAGGAAGAGTTACAGAGGCAGAGAGAGAGAAAGAGGTCTTCCATCCGCTGGTTCGCTCCCCAGATGGCTGCAATGGCTAGAGCTGGGCTGATCTGAAGCCAGGAGCCAGGAGCTTCTTCTGGGTCTTCCACGTGGGTGCAGGGGCCCAAGGTCTTGGGCCATCTTCTACTGCTTTCCCAGGCCATAGAAGAGAGCTGGATCGGAAGTGGAGCAGCCAAGACTTGAACCGGCGCCCATATGGGATGCCAGCACTGTGGGGGGCAGCTTTACCTGCTGTGCCACAGCGCTGGCTGCTTCTCGTCCAACGTCCTGCTGATGTGCCTGGGAAAGCAGCAGATGATGGCCCAAGCATTTGGGCCCCTGCCACCCATGTAGGAGACGAGGATGGAGCTTCTGGCTCCTGGCTTCAGCCTGATCCAGACCTGGCTGTTTTGGCCATTTGGGCAGTAAACCACCAGATGGAATCTCACTCACTCTCAGCCTTTCGAATAAATTTACGAATGAAGAAGAGGTTCAGTGATAATTTGGAAGTCTTTGTTTCTGATCAGCCGTGCTTTTTCCTTGAATGTGTGCATTCTAGAGAGGAGCCATCAAAGCTGGACCGGGATGTTTTGGCAGCTCTGGAACGTGCCGATGTCGACCCTCAGCGGTACCCCGCTGTCCACAGATGGAAGAGCGCTGTCCTGGGCTACTCGCCCTCCGATAGGCAGAGGTACGGGTGGGAGAACCCGCTGTCTGCTGCAAGCGAGCGTCTGGAGCGGTCCAGGGCTCGCTCCGCAGTGGTCCCACTAACCAGGCTGACCGAGAGCCCCCCGGGTTGGCACCTGGTACCCCACGGGGTCCTGGCTCTTGCACAGAAGAGGTCCCCAAGATGGGGTTAGAGCAGGACAGGACTGCTGCTGCTGCGGGGCGGGAAGCAGCGGGGCTGAGCTGGGGCACACAGGATTGTGGGAAATCCAGACCGGCTTTTTACGTTTTCATTTGAGGAGAGAAGGAGATACAGAGCTCCCATCTGCAGGTTCACTCCCCAGAGGCCCAGCAACCAGGAACTCAATCCAGGTCTCCTACATGGGGGGCAAGGACCCAGCTGCCCAAGCCATCACCTGTTGCCTCCCAGTGTCCACATTAGCAGGGAGCTGGACTCACAGCTGAGACTGAAAAACGCAGGCACTGACAGGGGGTCCAGCCAGCATCTTAACTGCTGTGCCGCATGCCCCGGGACAAGCTTTTCATCCCCCAAGCCCAGGTTGGAGGTTAGGAGATCCTTCCCTGAGCTGCAGTGGTCCCCTCCGGGGCTCAGTGCCTGCTGCTGACCGACCTTTCTTGCTTCCCACAGCTGGCCAAGCCCTGCGCTGAAAGGAAAGCTCAAGGCTCAGCTGCCAGATCTTGGTTGTGGCCCCAGCTGCAGCCCTGGGAGAAGCCGTCCTGCTGGGGGCAGCCCCGTGAGGCCCGGTCACGCCGCCCACTCCCCCAGCCTGGGGCGCTACAGCCCTGCACATGGGAGCCACCTCCGCAGGGTGGCGCGAGTGGCCCAGCTCACCACCACCCCTTAGGGTTGGGCAGCTCTCATTTCCTTCGTTTCTAAACAAGAAGGGTAATATGTTTTACAGGTAAAATTTCACACACACAAAAATATTCCAAATAATTTATTAATCCTCACTTTGAGGGTAGAATTTCAGAAAACATGAATGTTCTATGTAAAATTTAAATTTTGGATATTTTGGAAGAAGTTAATGAAACGTTTTCTGGAAAGTATCGATGTATTAAAGACTTTCTAGGTAGCAGTGCCTCGGTTTGAAATGTAGCGGAGAAAAGGGTGTGGAGGCCGTTCCTGGGAGATAGTTGTGTGCAACCAGAAACCCTGAGCGACTGCTCTGGGAAGAGGAGGACGCTGGCAGAACTGCTGGCTCGGACAGCCCTGTGACACCTGCCCTCACTCAGCTCGCTGTTCAAACAAAGGTGAATTGGTCCTTGGCTTCCCGGGGTCTCTTGATGATGGGACAACCCCTCAGCCAGGTGGCCCTCATCATTTAGATAAAATGCGGTCTCAGATGTAAGGGATATTTACAATTAAGGTCATTAAAACACTGGAATTACCGATAAGAAGACGAAGTAGCTTTTTTTGTTGGAAAAAGGTTTCCAGCCAGTGGGTGTTGTGCAAGATAGTCCCATAGACTCACCAGCAATAATTAAAAGGACTTTATTTTCCACTAGCTCTTGAGCTTTCAGTCTTGAATTTCCAGTGTAGTTATTCATTTTGAAATTGTTCCCTGGTTTTGAGATTTATCATGAGGACTCGAGCATGAATTCGCATACGGCCAGTTTTCTACACGTGTCTCCTACCTTTGTGTTTCAGTTGGGATGCCCTGTATGGAAGAGCAGTGCATTTCAGGTGTGCCTTCCAGGTGAGGGTTGGTGGAGGCGGCCCTACCCTTGGCGCTCTCTCAGGAGGCCCACACAGCACAGCATCACCAATGGCTGTCAGGGCTGACTTCCGCCTGGGGGTTACAAGCAGCAGATCATATGCAAGTGTTGTTTCGTGTTTACTCCAAAATGAAAAACTGTAACAATGCTTTTGCGAACTTGAGTGCCTTTTTAAGTCATTTTCAATTTTTCTGAACTTGCTTTTTGAGAATATGAAATGGTCCTAAGTAGGCATAACTAAGATCCTTTTTTATTGGTGTAACCTGTGAATTGAAAGTTGGGTTAAAACGCTTATTTCTTTCACATAAGCAATGGGCTAGGAATACTGGAACCGACACTTAGATTTTCAAATAAAAACTGTCACACAGGATGTTTTCACTTGTGTAGCAGATGAGATCTCACAGAATAGAAACACTGCATTCTAAAAACATCAGCGGTTTAAAGCCTTCTTGTTCTTAAATCAGAATGTGGGTATTCAGTTTTGTCTAAACACCTTAGGGTATTGGCTTGTATACTATTGTACATATCCAAAGAAATTAGTGTTTTATCCTAATTTTGCAGACTTGGGCTCCTGAAGCGTTAGGCCTTCTTTATTTCTCCATTTGTTGGTGCCGCGGCACTGGCCCTAGTGAGTGCCTCATCCCGTGTGGGGGGTGGCCTTTTAAAATCTACTTAATGAAATAAATTATTTTTAACCATGTAGTAATGATTCTAACCTCTCAGAAAGATCTCTCACCTGTACCTGGCAGAATGCCCTTTTTCGTGAAACTTTGAGCAGGATTTTGATGAAACAGAACATTGAGTTAAACTGGCTTTGCTTGTGCAGTGAACAGCTGAGAGGGTATCAGACTCACTGTGCCACACGGGCGCAGGGGGGAGGGCTCAGGGCAAGGCAGACACCACGAGTCCTGCTCCTTTCTGGGGACAGCCAGGTGGTGGGTGGGGCTCTGCCTGGTTTCGTGGGCCTGGCCTGGCCTGCAGTGCTGGTGTAAGCACCTGCTGTCTACACAAGTCATTAGGAACCACTGCCCCCTAGTGGCCCCTCATTCCCACAGATTTAGGGTGTTGCTGGCGGCTCTTAGGGAAGTCTTCTAGGGGCCCTCAGTCCCCTCAGGTTCCTGTAATGCCAAGCCCCTCCCCTTACTGTGGGCTCACCTGGAACCCCCCCACCCTGGCATCCCCAGCACTTCCTACCTGCCCTTCCCACCCACCCTGTGTCCGTCACTCAGAAATGAGACCCCAGTCCTCACTGTGCCAATGCTGTGTCTGCAAGTGCAAGAGGGCCTTGTTTCCTGGCTTGAAAAAGCCATGGAAGAAAAGCCCTCTCAGAACAGCACGTACAGTTTGCTGGGAATTTGGATTAGACACAAAATCCTATGAAGGTGCGCATTCAAGAAAACAGAGGTTGTAACTGCTTTGTGTTCCTACAGCAGAATAAATCGGAATCTGCCGTAACTTTGCAGACAAAATCTGAAAGCCCAGATTCAAATCCTTGACTTCAAATCTAACTTCAGCACAATTCTGAGTTTTCATTTGAGCTTTTTTTTTTTTTTTTAAAGATTTACTTATTTGAAAGACAGTGAAATCTTGCATCTCTTGGTTCACTACTCAGACGGCCAAACCAGCCAGGGCTGAGCCATCTGCTGCTGCTTTCCTCGGCTCATCAGCAGGGAGCTGGATCAGAAGTGGAGCAGCCAGGACTCCAACCAGCGCCCATATAAGATGCCGGTGTCATAGGCTGTGGCTTAACCTGCTGTGCCACAGTGCTGGCCCCCGAGGTGTCTTGCTTTTGCTTTTTTGCAGAAGCATTTCACTTAGAAAGCAGAATCTTGTGGGGCTGGCGTTACGGTGTAACAGGTTAAGGTGCTGCCTGCAGTGCTGGTATCCCATATGGGCGGCAGTTTGAGTCCTGGCTGTTCCACTTCCAATCCAGCTCCCTGCTAATGACCTGGGAAAGCAGAAGGTGGCCCAAGTATTTGGGCCCCTGCACCCACGTGGGAGACCCAGAAGCAGCTCCTGCCCCAGCCCCAGCCATTGTGTGTGGGGAGCAACTCGGCCTAGACTGTTACTGGAACTAAGACTTATTCTATGCATCTGCTCTCCCACAATATGGCGCTGAGAAGGGAGTAACAACTTCTACGCAGCTGCCTCTCGCCAACTTGAGTGATGACCTGCAGGAGCTGATCCTGCTCCTGATTGGAGGAGAGCAGCGTACTCGGTGTGTGGGTAGCAGAGTTGGGATTGGTGGAAGAGGACTATAAAGGAGGAGAGAGACAACATGCACCAGGAACATCTATCTGAAGGAACACCTGTGCAGCCCCCGAGAGAGCCGGCCGGCGGTGTGCCGCTCCCCCGCGGAAGTGGGGAAAGTGGCAGGGGGAACCGCCCTTCCATGGAGGTGGAAGGGTCGGAACCCAACCGGGAAAGGACCGCCGGCAAACCGGGGAGGGCCGGAGCGAACAAAAAACCGCGGCAGGTCCCTGGTTCGTCCCCCCCCAAAGACGGAGCGACATAATGTGGCCCCGTCTCTCGTATAGAACCCCTAGGGGGAGAAGTGGGAAAATACCCGAGAAAGAAACTACCAAAGAACTAAGGGGAAATGTGGACGGAAAAAGTGCCGGGAGAAATCTAGGGTTGGAAGTGAAACTGACAGCCAAAAGAAAAATAGAATTGGATGTGGACCACAGGGGGAAGCTTGGAGAAATCTGAAATAAAAGTAAAATTGGAAGAGGAAATTTACTTGCATACCGACTGTGGGGAGGAGTCCGGAGAAATGAGAAAGAAATATTGTTGAAGAAACTTTCGGGGAAGAACCAGGCAGAACCATACTTTGTTTTTTTTAAATGTACGCCCCCCCCCCGGGGTGGAGCCGGGGACCTAAGCGAGGGGGGGGATTTTTCCTCTCCCCCCCCGGGGGGC